CCCCCCCCCCGGCCCCCCCACTCAAGGCAAGATCATCCCCTGACTAAAGTATCCCAGCCAAGCGTCTGTTCAATCTGCTCTTGCAAGTTTCCAAAAATGGAGATTCCATAACTTCTCTAGGGAGCTTGTTCCAACACCTGATGAGTCTCACAGTCAGAAAATTCCTCCTATTTTCCAGCTTCAATTCCCCTGCTGTACCTTGAGGCTATTGTTCCTAATCCTGTCCCCTACAACCACAGAGAAAAACCCATCTCCATCCTCTGTATTAATCGCCCTTCAGGTATTTGAAGACTGTTATCAAATCCCCTCTTAGTCTTCTCTTCTCCAAGCTAAATAGCCCTGGCTCTTGCTGCTTTTCCTTATGAGCCTTGACTCTTAGGCTCCTGATCATTTCTGTTGCCCTACACTAGACTCTTTCTAAATTGTCCACATCTTTCTTAAAGTGTGGGGCCCAAAACTGGACACAGTACCCCAGGTGCTGAATAGAGTGAAATAAATACTTCTCTTGATTTGCAAGTGACACTCTTGTTAATACAACCCAGGATGCTGTTGGCTTAAAAAATTTTTTTTTTGCAACAAGAGCACACTATTGGCTCATATTCAGTCTATGGTTCACTGTAACCCCCTAGGTCCTTTGCTGTAGTACTGTAACCTAGCCAGTCATTCCAGTGGTGACATGTAGGAAGTGCAAGGAGGTGCACATGCACCCCCTGAGAACACCGGTGCACCCCTGTTAGGTCATGCTCCCTGCCTAGTTGGCAGGCAGAGAGTCAAGTGGGAGCATCAGTGCCCCCTCCGCAAACGGTGTCCGGGGAGCGGGACTTCTAGCAAAAGTGGCCGCGCCACTTCCAGAAGTGAGTGAGCTGCTTTTTGGTGAGTGAGATTGGCTGCAGGAGACCCCCCCGGTCAGCATGATTGGCGACTGCGGGACCTACCCCCGACATTGGGATTGGCCTGGTCAGTGGGATCAGCCACCAAGGGACCTCCACACCCTGGTCAGTGGGATTGCTGCTGGGGGACCCCCACCCCAGTCGCTGACTGGTGTCAGGGGGGCAGATGCCCCCCCAGACTCAAGAGGCACCAGTCACCCATGAGTCATTTCCCAGTCTGTATTTGTGCATGCTATCAGTCCATCCCAAGCACAGGACTTTGCACATGTCCAATACCTGGCCACATGCAGACTCATAGGAGGAGAAACACTCAGATGTTTGTCTTAGCTTTCCACTGACTTCGACTATTGTGTAACACAAAGGGTGGGCACCATGCAGCCAGATGTTAGTTGATTCAGCTGTTGAACTTGATAAACATCTTTTTTGTCTTTTCAGGAACACAAAAAAGTATATATTTACAATCAGTAGCGAGTTTCATAGGGAAAGCATGGAAAACCACTTATTTCTGTATTGGGTTTGATTTACTCTCATTTTGGAAGGTGTGCAAAGAGCACTGCTGTGTGTCAGCAGGTGAAGCTGCATCTTTATTCCCAATGGAGGTGAGGCGGTCTTTGTGCTGCCTGAAGTTCTACACCAGGGAAAGCAGCTTTTATGTGAAGCCTGGACTTCAAAGGAAATATTTGAGTAAAGGATACCCACACAATGTTCTGAAATTCCATTTAGGTGACAGAACTCTTCATCTTCAGCCTCTGTAGGATTCTAGCTGCAGTGGATAGGGAAGTAAGAGAATACATTCATGAAACAGTTATTGGAAATTGTGTGTGCTAACATTTGAATTTCAAAAATTTTCAACCAGCTGAAGTAGGAGTCAGTATTTGGAGACTGTAAGAGCAAGTCTAAGGTCTCTTGGTGAAATGGGGAGTGTGCATCTGATAGACCTCCCTGCACAGGCTACCACCATCCCTGTGTCAGCAGATAAAGGCATGGGCCCTGTATTCATGAATCATCTATACTTTTAGGATTCCTATATGTCACATACTTTTAAAAAGCTTTATGACATTTTCATTGCTTTGTGTATTGACCACACATTGGCATTTTATTATGTATAGATAATATAGGCAGCCATTGGAATTATCGCTCAAACACAACTGCTTACTGGAATTACATTTCTGCGTTCATAATGAATTGTGTCCCTGGATGGGCAGACAGGATGGAAGCTATATGGACCCCATCTATATAGATCACCCTGAAATGACATCAGTAGCAATACAAGGAGGGTAATGGACGTCCCTTCAAGGTCTGATCCTACAAGGCACAATGTACCCCTTGAGGTATTTAGTGCGTCGTGATGGACCTGAGCCGCCTGAACCCTTACTGTATATTACTTTGTTTTTATGGCAGTATGACATAGCTGCAGCTACTGTTAACTATGGACTCTCCATTAATTTAATATACTAGCTTATCTTTTGGTATTGTTCATTTGGGGAAGTCAAGGGAAATCAGAAATGTAATGGGTCAGCAAGGCAGCTTTTACGAAGATAACACTGTGTTGATGGGAGGGCGTCCTTTTCCTCTGACACAAATTGCTGAGTTGGTACTCTAGCATTCCTTTCTTTTGTAAATATGGAGGGGTCATGAAATGTTGTTGATTCTTCTTTATTAGTAGTGGAGAGGGAAGGAAAAGTAAAGAGGATATAGACCCTCAAATACATTCTTCCTTCCTTAGGGTCATAGTGGCAGTCAGAAAGCTGGCCCAAGATTGCTGGCCTATAACCAGAGATTTGTTCAGTAGACAAGATTAAAGTTGAAGGTACTAGAATATTCTGCAAAGACCTCCTCTCACCTGTTTAGTGAGAGGAGACATGACAGAATTATACAAAATAATGAATCACATAGAGTAGAGTACTCCTATTTAATACTTCTCATAAAACAAGAAACAATAGAAAGGAAACAATTTGGAACTGCTAAAGGGAAATGCTTTGTTTCACAGGGCATAATTAGTGTGGAATCCATCTTTGTTAAGTACCACTTATACCTTTCTTGTTGGGTAACTTGAGAGTTGAAAGAACTCAGGGTTAAAGAATGAAATAGAATCAATCCTCCATTATGTATGGACACCACAACAAATTAAAATATATTTGTCTCTTACAATGTATTTTGAAAGGGCAGGTGACTTTTGCTTTCAGTAAAATATAGCATTAATCAGTGAAGGAAGCTGCTCAACAGACCTAGACCTCTTTCTACTGTGAGGCTCCAACAAAAATAGTTTTCATTCTCCTATAGCTTTAGGCCTGATGCTCAAAATCTGTCTAAACAACAGATGAGTCAAAAACATATCAGTAAATGTAAAAGATAAAATAGTCTCACAATATTTGGGTGTAATCTCTATCATTATTTTTTGTGTGTTGGAGTCATGATTATATTATATTTCTGCTTTTAAATTTTTGCTTGCACGAATGCAGCATTTAGGTTGTGGTAGGACAGGATTGTCTTAAGCTATAAAATCTTTTACAAGATTAAAGAAACCCTTAAAACAGAGATACAAACACAGAACACTGCCTGTCGCCACTGATTTTCTTCTTTTTTAATGTATTATGTCACACTGCCACTCACTCTGTTTATTCTGCACAAGACATATTGGAGACTGTCTGCCTCCAGTATTATTTTCATTGCACTGCACTGATAGCAGAGTCATTTATCTTTAAGGGTCTTATTCAATAAAAATATATCCATCTTCCATGGTGTGCAACATAGATGTCTCTTTTATTGAAATCAGCCTTTATAGATAACTTGGCTCTCCATCCAATGCAATGAAGTTAAAATCAGTTTCCAACTGACTTGTGAGTCTTCGCCAGTCATGTGTAGAGCTGCATAGTTTTTTGTTGAATTTGGAACATAAAGATAAATGGCCTCTTTGCCAGTGATGTGTAGTGGAATGAAATAAGAGGCAGGCAGTGCCCATTGTGCCTTGCCCTTAAGTATCTTTAGATACTACTTCTCAGAATATTAATGTTCTTCCATACTTATGACTGTAAATGTGCATACAGTTATTTACAACTCCTTGGGCAGAAATGATGTGATTGCATGTTGTTTGGTTGCTAGTAAAAAGGGCCACCTTCAGCTCATCTTTCTGCGAAAGTAATGTTCCACACAAACGTATCTTTGTCTATTCTATAATCGTCTGATCTCTCATTTGAGTTGCTCCTAAGGAATTAACACTAGAACAATACTAACTTCTTTTTTATTTCCGTGCCTATAAGGAACAGATTCTGATTAATTCAGAAAGGTTTGTGTGCCTTTGGTTTCTGATTTGTATGAGATTTAACAATTTATTAAATGATGTTATTTTGGATATCTAAGTCCATATACCTAGATAGAATAGATTATTATTAATTTAGGACTTTTCTACCAGGTGAGGGGATAAAACATGGAACCAATTTAAAACTTACTAGAGGTTCATTACACAGGATTAAATAAGTGGAAAAGCATTGGATGCTTCCAGGGGCATTTCCAAGTGAAGTATTCCCAGACCAAGCTGTTAAAAATCTTGCTCAGACATACTAAAAATATATCCAGTGTAAACACTGCCTTTCTTACCATTAGGAAGAAATATGGTTATTTTTTCCACCTAAATTACTGCTCCAGTTTGACTTTGCGTATTGTTTTAGCCAAAATGTGCAGTGATCCAGCATTTACCCTTGTTACAGTCAACTTTAATAATCCTCCAAGTTCAGTAGAGTTATTCCTTTTAGGAAGATTAATCTTTGGGATGAAATTTTTGATGGCCCTGTATAGTAGTATGACAAGGCCAGAGGAAACTGCTCCATTTCTCACCTTCCTCTGTACAGAAGCAGTCAGTCAAATTCCTCCAGTTCTTCACAAGTGAATTGGCCAATACCCCAGCGTATACCCTAAAGACTGCAGAAAGCCCCCATAAGAGAAGGTTAGGAAATGCTGCCATGGGTTGGTGGTTGAACTCTGTCATTGTATAAGACAGGGGTGCCCAACCTCCCAGTTGCAGCACAAATCGAGCCTGTGGTGCTGTGTCATTCAGCCTGCAAGGCTCCCCATGAGTCCAGAAACTCAGTAGCAGAAGTGCAGTGGCACTGCTTTCCTGCTGCCAAATCTCCAGACCCATGGAGACCCTGGGCCTTGTGTGCTGGATCTGGTGTCTGATCCCAGCATGCAGGGCTGGGTTGGGGTAGCACTAAGTCCCAGGGCCTGATCTCGGTGTGGGGAGGCTGGAAAGAGGTGGATCCAGGCCCCAAAGCCCAATCTGTCCTGCAGATGGCCCGATCTGGCCCACAGATGGGCTCTGTGCCACTCCTCTAGCCCATAGGACCAAACGATTGAGCACCACTGGCATAAGGGATGGAGAGATTCATTTTCAGAGGATCCTATTTACATGAATATCATGGACCCTATACTTTTTATAATGCAAAGAATACTGTGGGCATGCTCTATAGTTGGATAGAGCAGTTGCATTCTTCTGCTGATGATTGTTCTCTCTGAAGTTTGCTCACTTGGTCTCTGGGGGAATCTTTGCTAATGAAAGGTGGCCTCTAAAACTATTGCACACTTTTGTGGCCAATGTATAAAGTAGTATGATCAGGAGAATTCTTACTTATTCTATGGAGGTTCTTGTGCCATGATAATCACTGTATTAACTGAGCACCTTCCAATAGTGCATTAACTGATGTGAGTAACATCTGTTACATGTATGTTTTCTCATCTTCTCCCCAGAGGGAGAAGAGTGGGCAGCACAGTATCTTATTTTGTCAGGGTATTTTTGTTTTAATATGCATGTCAGCTGAAGTCAAACCCGTAACATTTTTTATGCTTAAGTACCTGTATTTAATGTGTCGGGGAACAGCGGCCCCAAGGTCACGGTGGGCCAAGGGTGGTATCGGATAGGAAGAGGCAGGAGTAGCGGCGAGGAGTCTGAGCGGTACGGGACTCACGGTGCGGTTTCAAACCATGTGTATTTTATTTACTTACACTACTGGAGCGTAGGCAGAGAAGCTTGCGTCAGTTACAGTGTTAACGAGAACAAACAACAAAGGGGTCTGTCGGCCCCTGGGGTTCTCAAGTGAGCCCTTGCTTTCTAGCCGGAGCTAGGTGCGGCTGCCCAACTCGACAGTCCCAGGGCTGGTCAACAGCTTATTGAATGGGTAACAAACAATGAAAACTGCAACACAGTGTGACGCCAGTCCAAGGTGGACAAACAGATGATCGGTGCCGAGGTCGATGAAGAGTGATGCTGAGGTTACTGCTGGGTATGGTGAAACGAAGCTGTAGTCGAAGTGAGTCGGGTTGATCAGAATCGTAGTCAGGATCAGTGCCAAAATCAGTCCGGTAGCCAGGAGATCAATACGAGAACGAAGGGGAATCGAATAGCCAATTTGCAATGAGGAGAAGACCAGTAGGCCTGAAGCCCTCCAGAAGAGCAGTCCCTACAGCCGCAGCCTCTGCTCTCTGGATCGATCTCTCCCTGCCTCACAGTCCTTGCCAAGGCAGCCTCTGCTTACAGGTGGAGCACAGTCTCCCCTCACACACCCACCACCACACTGACTGAGAGAATAACAACAACAAAAACCCCCCAAAGGTGGGGGCTCACAATCCCTTTATGGCAACCAAATGGCCAATCAGGTTGCTTGTTTTGAAGAATTTTCTAGTTCTATGAAGTCATGCTCTTAGCCAGACTGAGCATGCCTCTGATTAGATTCTGTATATGACTGAGCATGCGCATGGTGGAAAAGTAGGTCACGCTTGATTGACAAGCCAACAGGTCACCCAGGGGGCACATGCTGGGCACCCTGTGGAATTTTCCATTAACCTGGCTTGTTCGCGCATGTCAAACTTAACCCTTGTGTTGTCAGCATACATTCAAAATTTGGTCCGGACATAATGATAAATTATGCACGATCCATGAAGCCAAATAGGTTCTCATTTCAATGCTCATTTCCTTATTATAAACAACTACTGAAACAGGCTTAGCCTAGATATCTTAAATATTCATATTGTTCATGCCATAAAGAGCCGCATTCACAGCTGTACTTGAAAAGTGCTTAGACACTTGACGAAGGTGGTAGACAGGATGGACCTTTCCTCCTCCCTCCTCCTCACAATCTGGGGATTACCAGGACAGTTCCCCTACCATCCTCAAAGGATCACCCTTCTAGCTTGGGCTGAGCTTCCCTGAGCAAATTTAGTGATAGTATTGAGATGGTGGCCAGGCACAAAGGTTCAAAAAGCCTGAGGAGGAACATATATAATCTATGCAGGTTTCTGTAAGCAGCCTAGGCTAGATAACAGGCCATGTGTTCACCTTCGGGGGTGGGCAAACATGCTTCCTGGACTGAGGCCAACAGGTTGGGGGCACTTCTGTGGGACTCCCCAGGCTGCCAGAGACTGCGGAGTGCATTGGCCATCCCTGATTGGCTACTGGGCATGGCTGAGCATGCCCCCAAGCCATTGCCCCTGCACACACCCTCTCCACCCTAGTATTCATAGTACGCCCTTTCCCCTCTCCCTCCTGCTACCTGCCTGTAGCTGACAGATGGCAGGGAGGGGGGCCCAGGGAGAGAGTCTGTGCCTGCTTGTCTCTGGGCGAGCTTGGGGGTAGGGCTGCTGGGTACTTCACTAGAGCTTGACTGAGCAATTGCTGCAGCTGAGTGCTAGCATGCCTTCCTGTGAGGAGGGAGGGTTGTGGGGGCCACAAAGGAACCTGGGATACCAGAAAACAGTGATCTAACTTGAATTGGTAAGGGATCTGGTACAGAAGTTTGGTCTAACCTAAATTGATTAGATTTGAGTGCACATCAAACAGATCTATCTTAGATGCACATCAAACAGATCTATCTTAGACCAGGTTACACCATTTTTAGAGCAGTCTAAGAGCACCAAATTTCTGTATGGTTATGGGTTTGGATCAATTTCCAATCACTTAGATCAGTTTATATCTATATCTGGCTTGTATGTGGTAAGGGAACTCTGTGTCATTTGCGTATTTCTGATTCTACCTAATGGTTGAATATAGAAGGAGAATTGAATCTTTTGGGACTCCACATATAAGAAGTTTAATGGGGGACTGTAATAGAGCACAGGGTGTGCTCTGTTACTCCCAGAGGCGTGGGCAGCAGCAGAGCAGCCTGATGCTGGTTGTTTCTCCAGTCAGGTGTAATTACTAGGGGTGTGAGAAGTGGGCCCTATTTGATTCAGATTCGGATTTGGCCCGTATCGGGGTCAGTGATTCAATTAATTGATTTGGATCACTGTCCCTGTTTTGATTCGGCCAAATCTGAATTTGAAGATTTCATGCTGATTCAGAGAATCAGCGTTTTGGCCATAGACACAGCTTTAAATGTTTTTTCTACATACCTTGAGGTACCAGCATGGCTCATGAATGCTGCGATGCTGGGGCAGATGTAATGTCCCACAGGAGTGCGGAGGCAGGTGGGGAGGCTTATGTGCTCAGCTCAGAAGTGGACTGGAAGTACCTTTGGTCCACTTCCAGGTCTGCCAGGGAGTGCACAGCCCCCACCCCCGTACCCCTCCGGCTTGGTGATTGGCCACAGGGGGACCCCAGGTGCCCCCCCCAGACCCAGGAGCCCCCAGTGCACTCCCCAGTGGACCTGGTAGTGGACCAGGAGTGCTTCTGGTCCACTTTCAGGTCTGCTGCCAAGTGTGCTAGGGAGCCACCCATGCTTCTGTGGGACACTCCAAGAGCCCCAGCATCGGAGCATTCATGAGCCACCTGATACCTAGTGGTATGTAGAAAAAACATTTAAAGCTGCATGTATGTCCAAATTGCCGAATCTCTCTGCATTGATTCGGAGGGTTCTGATTCGATATGGAGAGATTAAAGGGTCCTCTGATTTAATTCATATTCAGAGATTTGGCCACTGAATCAAGCTAAATCTCCACCAAATTGGGTCAGGGATCCAAGCTTTGTACAGCCCTACTAATTATCTGATTGGGAACGGGGCCCAGCTCTTCACTATAAGAGCAGGGCCCTGAGAGGTAAAGCCAGCAGTCTGCTGATAACTCTGGGAGAATACCATCTGGCTGGAGCTGCTGCTCATGACATATTGGAGGTAAGGGCAGGAGCTATGGGGATGGCTGGAGGTTCTGGGTCCTGGGGCATGACCTAAAATTACACCCTTCTGGGGCTGGATGGTGTGGTGGGACTGACAGTGGTGGGGTAGTCTCCAGGAAATGCCACACCTGGGGCCTCCCCAGTGAAGGGCGAGTATGGGGTGCCAGAAAGTCTCAGCCCCCGCTGCCTTGTGGATGACCCTGTGGAGGGGAAAGTCTAGGGGAGCACACTCTGAAGAACAAAGCAAGGAGCCCAGGCTCACTGTGATCTCTGAGGAGGAGTCCTGGCCAGGGAAACGGGCAAGAGACAGCACACAGGCTCACGGCAAGTTCTGAGGCTGCACTAGGTGGGAGTGAAGCTCCAGGGTGGTGGGGCCCTGAGCCTACTATGGGGAGCTATGTGCAAAGCTCCTGGGGCAAGGGGATAAGGGGACTGTAGCCCAGTCTAAGCCAGGCGGTAAGGCCCACTGTCAGGAAAGGGATGGGGCTCGGAGCCCAGAGTGGGAATGGGGCTTGGAGCCCTTAGTGATGTACAGAAGGAGAGCCCAGTGTGAAGGCATGGGGACTGTGAGCTCCAGTGGGAAGTGACTCCCATGTGAGACTCTGGAGCTCGGGTCCCAGTGTGAGGCACTGCAGGAACATGGATGCCATCTGCGAGGCATGGGACACAGTAAAAGGGAGGTTGGAGCTGAGACCCTTGACATCAGGGCAAGTAAATGGGCAGCCTCTCTCCTTATTGACATCTTTTAATCATTATCAGCAAGGTGTAGCTGGTGAGGTAGGTGGGTGATTTGCCCAGAGACAAGTGGGTGGGCCAATGAATGGACAGGCTCCAGGATGCCCACTTGTTACAGGGACATAGATGATGCATAAGTGTTGGCAGTGGCGGGGTAAGGGGCACAACTCTTTAACCAATTCTTCACCTCTG